CCCCAAACATGAGGGAGTTTCCCAAGCCACCATCCACAGGGCCACCCACCCTCAGAACTTCCGTCTTGTCCGGGCTCAGCCTCAGCCCGTTCTCCTGCATCCATTGCAGTACGGCCCCGAGGCAGCGCTGGAGGGACAGGACGGCATCACCTGCAGTTGGTGAAAAGGAAATGTAGAGCTGGGTATCATCAGCATATTCATGACACGATGCTCCACACCCCCTGATGACCCCACCCAGCGGCCTCATATATATGTTAAACAGCATTGGGGAAATAGTCGACCCCTGTGGAACCCCACATGAGACCCCACGGGGCCGAAATACTCTCCGCAAGCTGCACTCTCTGGGGGCGGTCGTCCAAGAAGGAACGAAACCAGGCCAGAGCCAAGCCACTGATACCCATGTCAGAGAGCCTCCCCAGGAGGATACCGTGGTCAGTGGTATCGAAGGCCATCGAAATGTCGAGGAGGACCAACAAAGATATTTTATCCATGTCGGCCTCCCTCAACAAGTCATCGTACAGGGTGACCAATGCCGTCTCCGTACCGTGGCACGGCCTGAAGCCCGACTGAAATGGATCTAGGGCATGAATGAGTGGAAAGTTAGGATAAATGTACATAAATAAATGGAGAGTGGTTGTGTGCATGTATCTTCATATGCAGTTGTCTAGTATTCATTGTGGCGAGAATCCATGTTGGTTAGTTACACAAGAAGAAATGTAATGAAGTAAATTGCAGCAACAAATTGGGCTAGTCAGCAAGTTGGTGCTTGTATCCCTTATTGAACACCAGCACATGGGAGTGGTGTGTAATAAGGGATACGAATGATGACTTGCGAACTCAGGGCAATTTGCTGCTACAGTTTATGCCATTGCACTTATACTGAGATAACTAACCAGCAGGATTCTGGCCATTATGTGCAATTGTTTGCATATTTTATAACCCCTGCACTTCTAATTCTCATGGATCCTTATTTATCCATAGCAAATGTTAACTGCTGGCTCAGCAGCAACTCAGCTCACATCTGTCTTGGAGTTTTAGACTATCCTGCTCAATATCGTGAGACAATAACTGTTAGAGAGGGGTGCTGAAAGTGTAGCATACTGTAAGTGGCCCCCATGAGTTTATCAAGCCCCTCAATGTCTTTGTGCCCTTTTTTAAATACAAAAAATGGAGTTCTGTTCCTGTTCACTCCTGTTCAGAGTGGTGAGGGTTTTTTTCATAAAACAGGTCAACCTGTTCTCAGGGTGGTGGGAAAAATCCTGAAACCTTACAAATTAAACCCAGAAGTGGATGTCCTGCTACTTCTGGTTTTGAATTTTTGCACTTTTTCTGGCATTTCTGGGCTGGATGTAGCAGATTCTAGAGACAAACATTTGGCTCCCTGACTTTCCACAGTTGCCCACTCCTGTTTTAAGAGGAAAAGTACCCCCGATGTAAAGTTATGCAATTTACACCACCACATGCAGGTAGTTCACAAAATATTGTTTCATAGGTAT